GAAGCTTCTTTAGTTTTTGTGTTTAACATGATATAATTTTTCAAAGTGGGTAGCCTTAATCTTCTTGAAGCCAAATTAATAACCTCCTGGAAGATTAAAAATGCATAACTATTAACATTTAGTAAGGTTGCTAAGGCTTTTTTATCCTTGTTAACAAAGAAATGCATCTGTGGAAGTCAGAGAAATAGTAGATTCCCTGGAGGAAAACATTTCTAACAATTAGATATCTTTTGTGAGAAACCCAGAAAAGGTATGACTGATTGCTTTCTTGGATTAAACTGAAGGTACAAATGAAAAACACATTAGGTACAGATGTTCAGTATATTGGGATTAATTTTATTCTTGTGGGTACCATTTTCTTAGCTGCTTGGACTAATAGCAATTTGTTTCCAGAGTAGTGAAGACGTGTCAAAATAACTAAGCCAATCAGCACGGTTTAGTAAGTTTTTCCTATATATGTATTTTGAAACTGGATAAATGTTTCTAATAAACAAAATGTCTAGCATTTGTATTAATAATGACTTTCTATATAAGTAACCCAAAGTGTATTCATTCATTCAACCAAGACATGTCAGACACCGTGTTAGGTTCTAGGAGATTCAAAAATAAATAAAACAAGGCTCTTGCCTGGAGATCCAGTTTAGTGGGAAAGAGACAAGCAATAATTACAATACAAGGTAATGGGCTTCTAATGGAGACATGAACAAAATGCTATGGGAACAAGAGTTTTTCCTACAAATAAACCTAATGAAAAATAACATAATTAGTTCACTATCACAAAAAAGCAAAAACATAATAAATAACATATGGGAATGGCTGACCTTCAGGTCGTAGTAATAAATGACTATTTACATGGCATGGCTGTTGATATTTTATAAAACACTCAGATATATAAGGGAGACAGGCCAGCTTTAATTATCACTTTATATCTTTATCCATGATCTTTGTAAGCAACTTAAGAGCAGGGATCATGTCTTTCATCTTTGTATTCCAAGGCCCTAGCACAGCACCTGTTACATAGTAACAGTATGAACATATGTTGAATGAATGCATTCATGCACATACATATGAATATTGATGATTACACAAATAGCACACTTCTGAGTTCACAGATAACAGAATTAAGTGGGATAGACAATACTTGAAAAGAATATTTGATATGCGATGTATCGGAGAGGTTCACTAAACAAAGACAAATGGAAATTTAATAGGGATCAGCATGGAGAGTACTTTTTTACAGCAGACATATGTGATTCATTTTTTAATATTTCCTCTAGGTGTATAATCATGACTACATAGTAGACATTTGGCAACTATTTAATGAATGAACTGTTCTACCTCTACAATATATCTCTTGGATCGAACTCCTCCTCTCTATTGACCTGAACTGTAATAGCTTTCTAAAGATCTCCTCTCTCTTCCTCTTCTAAAAGAGCTTTAGTTGCCATATTCATCTCCCTAAAGTACTTTGATGGTGTAACTTTTATTTTCAAATTTCCTAAATAGCTCCCTTGTATTGGGACACTTTATTTAAAAACCATAATTAAAGACAAAACAAAACAAAAAACCATAGGAAGTACATAGTCCAAAAGCCTGGTACTGGCACACAGCGCAGCACTAAAATAGCTAAAAATTAATGAGCTAGGTTGCCCTGGGAAAATTATTCATATGACTTAAAATATAAAATAACTAATGGACCCCTACACAAAAATCAACTTGTTATTTATTAAAGACTTACATTGGAAAGAAAATATAGGACAATTTTAAAACAATCTCTGCTTAGCTGAGAAACCCAGCTGTTGTTTACTGCTGGGTTTCTTTGAGCCTCGCCCGGCACCAAGCACAGTTTACGAATCTACTAATGATTTGCAAGGAATTTGTACCCAGATTTTTGGGTTCCTTCTCTGTAGTTCCCTTCTCTCCAGGATTTTGCCCTTCCACGTTCCAGCTACTGCTAACACCAGACTCTTCCTGTGGTTTCTCAGCCTGCTAGGGTTGTATTCTTTTGCATTCCACTTTGGAAAATGTCTTAAAGGATACAGCCAGATAAATGTGGTCCTCATTTCCCATGCTTCTCTTCTCTGAATGATTGTAATTTCTTAGATCCAGCTTATGCTGACCATTCTCAATGCCTTCAAACAATGTATATATATTTTGTTCAGTCTTTATAAATGTTTTTGGCGGGTGAGTTATTCTAAAATAAGTGGTTACAGCCAGAACTGATGCCTCGTCATGAAAGTCTTTTGTTGAATGCTCATTTTTCTTCCTTTCCTTTCTTTTCTTTTCTTGTCTTTTCTTTCGAGAGAGAGTGCACGGGCAAGTGCCAGGGGTGGGAGGAGGAACAGAGGGAAAGAGAAAGAATCCCAAGTGAACTCCATGCCCAGTGTGGAGCCTGATGCTGGGTTCGATCCCACAACCCTGAGATCATGACCTGAGCCAAAATCAAGAGTCGGATGCTCAACCCACTGAGACACCCAGGCGCCCCCCCCATTCTTTTCTATCTTTAACCATTCAATCGTTATTTTACATTGTGTTTCTAATGATGCCAATATTGAAGGTTTCTGAGGGAATAAATTTGTTTATTGTTTCTGCTGGCTCTCATTCATGGTAGATCGCTTCCTCAAATATTTGGGGATCTTTCACTGTGAGATCTTGTTTGGTCTATGTAATATGGGGGAATCCTGGAAGTTTAGGGTGAAGATGTTTTCTCTAAAGAGAATTTGTGTTTTTGTCTGCTCAGAGGCAGGGTTACTATAGACCTGGGACATATCTCCAACTACTCTTTGAGAATGATTTCTAGACTCTTCACAATCTTACTCCTGTTGGATCTATACTATCTCTGATTTTTAAAATAATGGTGCTTTTGCATAAAGCCCAAAATCAAACACGATACCCAGTTTTGATCTGGACAGAGTAGAGTACTAATGATTTATTACCACTCTTGTTTTGGAAATTCTACTAGGGCTAGTATAGCTAAAGATACATTACCGCTTTTGGCAAATATGTAAAAACAATCCACAACACAGAGAAAGGGGGAAATGCGTAATTAGCAGAGAGTCAAAAGACCATGAAACGTGTTATTTATGAAATCTGCTATGTAAATTGTCACATGTAAATCATAGTTCTATTTATTCTTTGATGCTGTAGAAAATCACAATTTAAAAAAATAAAGGAGAAACAAAAAGCAAAAGAAAACAATGCACTGCATCTTGTGAACAGACTTATAACTGACCCCTTCTCTCACCTTTTTGGTCACATTATACCTCTACAGAGATGACATACTGGAGGCTCATCAACTCAAACCCCCAGTTTTTTCACATGACCCACTTGATGTGAAGTTAGGGTCCTCCAACCTACATTTTTTTCAAGTTGGGTTTTAAACCTAAATGAACCACAATGAAAAATCTAAAGTGTATCAAATTCATAATACTGAGGCTATTTCCAATCTGAAATGTTTACTTTTTTATGATAACAAGTTAAATAGAGTTACCCTTCCTGAGTGAATAATTTTAACAGCTGATAAGCCTAGGTGAAAGGTTATAAATACCTGGGCAGTAGTTAAAACCGAAATTGAAAATGAGGGAGATTTTTTAAAAATTACTATATTGAAAAGCAAATTCAAGAGCAATAACTTTGGGAATAACCTGACAGACCTAACTGATCACAGCATGTAACTAACATATTCAATAGTATATCTTAATGTCAGTCTCTTTTTATGTATTCAACTAATGGAAAGAGGTGTTTTTCTAACCCCTCAATTAATCAGCTATATCTGGTTCACATTTTTTAATGGGAAATAACTCTAATAGTTTCTGCTGGATCTAACTAATTTTTATTGCTTTTTATTCCAAAAATATATGTCTAAAGTAATAAAAAGGAAAATATCAGGCACTGGAAATATATTTTATACACCATAATTTTATGGAGGGAAAAATCATTTTCAGATAAATAAGTCTTTCAATAAATTTAGAAGTCTCCCATTTTAATTTTTTGATATATTTATCTTAAAAATCTCAGCTCTTAACAATGCCTTTAAAAAACCTGAAATCCTTTTTACTGGCAATATAGTTTCAGATTTTTAAAAAGTTGAAATACATTTAGAAAATAAATTTCTTTTATGCTTCTTAAAGCCCATACTTTAAGAGAGACTGCAAGTTTTGGGGTTTTTTAAAAAGATTTTATTTATTTATTTGACAGAGAGAGACACAGTGAGAGAGGGAACACAAGCAGGGGGAGTGGGAGAGGGAGAAGCAGGCTTCCCGCCGAGCAGGGAGCCCGATGCGGGGCTTGATCCCAGAACTCTGGGATCATGACCTGAGCCGAAGGCAGACGCTTAATGACTGAGCCACCCAGGCACTGCGAGAGACTGCAAGTTTTTGTTGTAAAAGTAATTAATACTTGTCAGGGGAAAATTTTTAAACAGTAAAAAGTACCAAAATTCATACACACTACCAATATTAAAACACAACCACTATTACTATCTTAGTGTTGGGGTGCCTGGGTGCCTCAGTCAGTTAAGCATCTGCCTTTGGCTGGTCCTGGGATCGAGCCTCATGTAGGGCTCTCTGCTCAGTGGGGAGTCCGCTTCTCCCTCTCTCCCTCTGTGCTTTCTCTCGCTCTCTCTCAAATAAATGAATGAAATCTTTAAAATATATATATATCTTAGTGTTTTTCTTTCTGGGCTTTGCTTTTCCCCTATGCATAAACTGATTTGTAATAGAGTTTAATCATATTATACATACAATTTTGATTCTTTTTCCTTTACTTAACCTTAGATCATAAAATGAATTCCATTGCTCAAGGAACTTGGACAAATGAATGGAGCCACTGATGATTATCTATATTTTATTCTCTGCAGTTTAGACTGTTTTTAGAGAAAGCACATGAAACTAAAAGTCACATACTTGCGATTTCTTTATCATCTGTCAATTGTACAGTTCCATTAATCAACTTATAAATACCTCACAAAGGTTTAACTTCAAAGTAATTTAACTTCTCACCTTTTGAGCTGCAAGATGGAGGGCTGTTCTCTGGCTGTGGTCAGTTTTATTAACATCTGCTCCTGCCTTCAGAAGAGCATCTGCACAATCCAGTCTGTCAGCCAACACACAATACATAAGTGGTGTCCTCCCAAATTGATCTTCTTTGTCTTTAAGGGCTGAGTTTCCTATGAGTGTAAGAAACAGATAGTGATATTTGATAATTGCTGTTGTTATTACTAATATAACTAGGAGCTACATTTACTAACTTTATTAGCAAGCTCTTTGTTAAATCATGAAATATATGCCACTTTTACTTACCCTATGAAATAGATATTACCATCCCCATATTATAGGAAACTGAGACTCAGTTAAGTAACCTGTTTATACTACACTGAAAGTAGGTGGAGCTAAAATTCAAACTGATAATTGATTCTAAAGGCCACATTCTTTTTTTTTTTTTTAAAGATTTTATTTATTCATTTGAGACAGAGAGATACAGAGAGAGAGCATGAGCAGGGTGAGAGGCAGAGGCAGAGGGAGAGGGAAAAGCAGACACCCCACTGAGCCAGGAGCCTGACGTGGGACTCGATCCAGGACCTAGAGATCATGACCTGACCCGAAGGCAGACGTTTAACCATCTGAGCCATCCAGGTCCCCAAGGCCATATTCTTAACTACTATATGTTATGCTGAATTAATATTGTGAGATATGGACCTACTAATTTTCCTCACTCACTCCTTTCTTTTATAGATTAAACGCTAAGCATTGTGGTATGTTTTTATGAGAGATACAAAACTGAATCATGATTGGCTTCCCATTTTTGACAATATAGAGCAAATGCATACTACCCTGATTCTCCTGCTAATTACAACTAAAAACCCCAGGCAAAATACATGAAAGGTGGAGAAAAGAAGGCAAACTGTCTAGGGACTATGGGACTCAGAACAACCTGATGGTGAGTTCCCTGTCAGTCTGTCTTTCTTTTCTTATTTTTTTTTTCCTCCTAAATACAGTCTGGGGGTTAAAGTAGCCCAAAACCAGAAACACCAAAGAGCAGATACAAAATTCCCCAGGAAGCCTGCTCTCTCCAGTCAAAAGACTGGGAAGAGGGTAGCCCTTGGAGCGCTTATACTTGGCTCTACTCAAAGCACATACAATGAAAGAAACTGCACCTCTTTACCTCCCCACTGGGCACAGCAGAGACTGTGGGGAGGAGCCCTATAAACCATCATGTCCTGAATTAAGCAAAGGATAGCAATGAAGTAGTATCTTACCCCTTCCTGACTAGAGAAGCAGGGAGGATTATGGAGAGGAGGAAGCAATTCTTTAAATTGGTGCATGAAGTCATAAACAACTCTGAAAAACCCTTGTGGAAACTAACCAGAATCAAAGTAGCAAAAGTTTCAAGAATTGAACTATGGGTGGAATATTGCCCAGGTTCTAAATTAGCTTGGGTAGCACATAAGTAGGGCAGACCAGAAGAGCTGTGAAAAATAACTTCACATTAGAACCACAGTCCACAAAACTGGAACAGAAAGTTCATTCTAAGCCTAAACAGATTGGCAGTCTATTAAATAGAAGATTTAAATAGGATCCAGAGTCTCATAACATAATACACATAATGTCCAAGATACAATCCAAAATTATTAGACAAACCAAGAACCAGAAAAACATTAACTTAAACCAGAAAAAATGATCAACAGACACCAATACTGTGATGATAAAGATGTAAGAATTATCTGACAAGGATTTTATTTTATTTATTTTAAAAGATTTTATTTATTTGAGAGAGAGCACAAGTGGTGGTAGGGGGGAGCAGAGGGAGAGGGAGAAGCAGACTCCCCACTGAGCAGGGAGCCCAATGCGGGGCTCGATCCCAGTACTTCAAGATCATGACCCGAGCCAAAGGCAGATGCTCAACTAACTGAGCCACCCAGGTGCCCCTATCTGACAAGGATTTTAAAGCAACTATAATAAAAGTGCTCCAAAAAGCAATTATGAACATTCTTGAAACAAACGGAAAATACAAAGTCACAGCAAAGAAAGATAGAATATAAAGATGAACCAAATGAAAATTTCAGAATAATAAGCATTTAATAAATAAGCAAGCAAATAACATAACTAAAATAAAAGCCTCACTGAATGGAGATGACAGAGGAAAGAATCATTGAACTTGATGATAGACCAATAAATATTATTCAATCTGAACAGCTGATAGAAAACACAGAAACAAAAAGAATCCACAGAATCTCAGGGCTCTCTGGGACAATAACAAAGGACCTACCATTCATGTCATCAGGTTCCAGAAAGAGAAGAAAAAGAATGAAGGGCTAAAAACATATGTGAAGGAATAACGGCTGGAAAGAGTGCAAATATGGTGAAAGACACAGACCTACAGATTTAAAAAGCTGAGCAAAACTCAAAACAGAATAAACCTCTAGAAACCTATGGTACATCAATCATAATCAAATTCCTGAAAACTAAAGAAGAAGAAAAAAATCATGACAGCAGCCAGAAAGAAAAAACACATTATCTATAGATGAAAAACAATTCAAATAACAGTGTATTTCTCATGAGAAACTATGGAGTCCAGAAGGCAATGACACAACATTTTTCAAGTGTTGGGGGGTAAGGGTGGGGATGAACTGTCAACCAAGAATTCTATATCCAGTGCTTGCCTAGGACTGGGGAGAAGGGGAGGTGTTAAAGGGGTCATAGCTAAAGGGGATAGGATTTCTTCTGGGGAGGGGTAATTGTTCTAAAATTAATTGTGGGGGCACCTGGGTGGCTCAGTCATTAAGCTTCTGCCTTCAGCTCAGGTCATGATCCCCGGGTCCTGGGATCAAGCCCCCCACCAGGCTCCCTGCTCCGCGGGAAGCCTGCTTCTCCCTCTCCCACTCCCCCTGCTTGTGTTCCCTCTCTCGCTGTGTCTCTCTCTATCAAATAAATAAATAAAAATCTTAAAAAAATAAAAATAAAAAAAAATAAAATTAATTGTGGTGATGTTTCTACAACTCTGTGAATATACGAAACCCACTGAATTGTACTTTAAATTGGTGAATTGTATGGTATGGATATATGGAATCTCAATAGAGCTGTTACAAATAGCCCCACTACATATAATTTAAAATGGAATACTAAAAACATTCAAGAAATTCAGAGAAGACAGGAAAGAGAAAAAAACAGGAATGAAAAACAGAGGGAACAGTAAACACATAGTAAGCTGGAAATCTTAAATCTTAACATTAATAATTACATTAAAGGTAAATGATAAAAAACACACCAATAAAAAAAGAGATGGATAAAAAAAAGATCCAACTACATGCTATTTATAAGAAACTCACTTGAAATATAACAAGTAGGTTAAAAGTAAAAGAATGAGCACAGATATACTATGTAAACACGAATTAAAAGAAAGCTGATTAACATCAGATATTAATATCTTATAAAATAGACTTCAGAGCAAAGACAACTACCAGGACAAACAGAAACATTACATAATGATAAAGGGATCAATTCACCAAGAATACATAACAATCCTAAATGTGTATGTACTAAATCATGGAGCTTCAAAATACATGTAGCAAAAACTGACAGAATTGTATGAAACATTTGAAAAATTTACAATTATAATTGGTAACCTCAATACTCCTCTTAGTAAGTGCTTGAACTGCTAAAATGAAAAGCAGCAAGGATAGAAAAGAACGGAATACCACTATAAAGCAGCAGGATATAACTGATATTTATTGATCATGTCACTCAATAACAGCCAGATATGTAATCTTTTAAAACACTGATGGGACCATTCACCAAAAGAGACCCTGGTCATAAAACAAGCATTAACAGATTTAAAAAAATGAAGTTATACAAAGTATATTCTCTGACAATAATGTAATTAAACTAGAAATCAATAACAGAAAGATAATGGGAAATCACTGAATATGTAGGAATTAAACACCACATAGATAATCCACGAGTTACAGAGAAAACCTCAAGGGAAATTAAAAAACATAATTAAATGAATGAAAATAATAGTAGTGTTGTAAGGTTCCTACTCTACACATGAGGGGGCTTGGAAGGAAATATACAGCATGAGTACTTGCATTACAGTAGAACAACAGCTTCAAATCAATGATCTATCCTTCTACCTGAGGACACTAAAATAAGACCAAATTTAATCCAAAACAAGCAGAGGAAGTACATAACAAAGATAAGAGCAGAGATCAATGAAATTAAAATTAGAAAACACTAGAGAAAAATCAATGAAGCTAAAAGTTGGTTCTTAGAAAATATCAATGAAATTGATAAATCTCTGATCAGAGTGATCATTAAAAACAGAGCAGACAGAAATTTCCAATATCAGAAATGAAAGCAGGGACAACACTATGGAGCCTGAAGTCATTAAATGGAAAATACGGGATTATAAACAATTTTATGCCCATAAATTCAAACTTAAATAGCCGAGAGAGAGAGAGAAAGAGAGAGACATAGATGAATAGGATAGAATTGAGAGTACTGAAATAGACCTATAAAAGGATATGATCAATTGATTTTTGACAAAGGTGCAAAGGCAAATCAATGGATAGTCTTAAACAGATGATACTGCAAAAACTGGAATTCATATCCAAAACCAAAAAATGAACAAACAAGAAACTCTCAACCTATACTTTTCATCACATATAAAAATTATCTCAAAATTAATCATAATCTTAAATGTAACACCTCTATAACTATATAAACCTTTTAGAAGCAAAGAAAAGTGACAATCTCTGTGACCTTGGGTTAGACCAAGATTTCTTAGACATGATACCAAAGAACAATCCATTTTAAAAATTGATAAATTGGATTGCACCCACATTAAAAATTCTGTTTGAAAGAACTGTTAAGAAAATAAAAAGACAAGCCACAAATTGGGAGAAAGTATTTGCAAAACACGTATCTGATAAGGTCTTTCACCAAGAATAAATCAACAAAACTAAAAGGCAACCCCCAAATGGGAGAAGATATTTGTAAATGACATATCTTATAAAGGGTTAGTATCCAAAATATATAAAGAACTTATAAAACTCAACAGCCCCCCAAAAAGAATTCTTACAAGTAATAAAAAGACAGATAATGAAATTAAAAGATGGGCAAAAGTTTTGAATAAACATTTCACCAAATAAGCATATGAAAAGATGCCCAA